GCTCATCCAGTGGCTATCTCTGGGGTTTTTCCTTTCTAATGAAGCAAATCAGCAGAACACAGAGCGTAGCTTGAAGTGAGAGAAAAATATTTGTTGGAAAAGGAAGATGTCATGGTGTAGCTCTCCAATCATCATTTTACTCAACATGTGAATTCTTGTTTGGACCTTAAAGCATTTTGCCCTTCTCTTATTTCTATACATGTGTATTTTTGTTTATTTTGCTATTGGAGTCCCTAACCTCTTTCTTGCCTAATTTGCTGTTGCCGTGCCATTGTCATACAGCGGTGAGCTGACACTCCCCCACCACTGACAGATGAGTTTTGCTGTGGTATCATCAAGAGCTGCCACCTTCAGCTGCTCCGTCCTTCTAATGGAGCTTTCCACCTGATGGCCAAGTGTGCAGCAGGAAGCCTGTGCTTTACCTCTGTAGTCGAGGTGAATCTAAGTAGACAACCAGGCTTTCCATGAAGAAACTGAGGCGTGACGTACTCTTTTCTGCCAGCCTTGTTTGGGTGGTGATAACCTCCAGCAAAGCAGCAGGGAGGGAAGCCTGGGGCAGCGACTTCTGTAGCTGCTGCAGCAAAATTCATCAGAGCTCATCTCTCAACGCGGAGTAATGCTCTTGGCGTTTAGTGGGAATCAGGCATCGTCTGACTAAAGTGAAAAGAGGCAAGGGACATGATTTTAGATTGTTACTGATTTTGTTTTGCTTTCACGGGCAGCATGATTAAAATCTGGATTCTAATTATCTGCCTTTTTTTTTAAGTAGCAGCACCTAACTAATTCCCATCAGTGCTTTCCCTCAGATCAGAAGCAAAGCTGTCTCTAGAATATGTTTTTTCAATTCCAAGCCAGTCATATAAGAACAGTGACCAAGATGAATCAGTTCTATGGTGCTCTCATTCTGTGTTTAATAATATAATAAAACCAAAAAATACTAATGAAATGCCAAATCCTGCAGGGTGCTAAAAATTGCAGATTGTTTTCTGAGCTTGCACTCTGACCCTGACTTACATTTGTCTGCTAAAGCTCAGTAAGCACACATGATATTATAGAAACAAATAAAACACAATTAAACCAATACATTCAGGCAGAGGAAACTAATGAAAGGTTTACCACTTCTCAAAAATAATATGCTCAGTAGAAGACAATGTCTCGAAGTGTGGTAGGTGTTAACATAATACATTTCCATGCTTAGATTTCCAAAACTGCAAGATACAGACATTTACAGGTACGTGTTTCAAATTTAAAATAATCTGTTTGGAAGGAGCAGACGATTTCTTTTTCTGACACACTGAAGGGGAATAATGTTCATTGTTTATGCATTTGCTTAAGCAGTGGAATTTTACATGGCTAAACTTCACTTCGTCAGATGTATATCAGTTTAAATTAGCTCAAAATCCATCCCAACATTCATTTTTAGATCACAGTCTTCAGAGGAACTGATTTATCAGGATGCCTAAATCCAGAGGCACTACAAATAAGCCAGGAAAGACAAATAACCCTCTTGGCATAAAACAAATGAGCTGGGGGAAAAGGAATGTGAAAAAAAGAAAGAGCTAAGGGAAAGTAAGAAAAAACCTACCAGTGGGAAGAACGTACAGTTTCAAATCCCGGATACTACCACACTTGGATTTCCTCATGTTCCACCTTCCCTCCAGCCCCTCCTTTTTTTTTTTTTTTTCTTTCTTTTTTTAACATTGCCTTCTGGACCACCTTCTCTGCTCTCATCCATCAGCTCTCCACTTTTTCATTTGCATTCCTTTTTAAGCCACTTCTCTTTGACAATCCTTATAAACCATTTAGAGTGCCTGAATGAGAACAGTTCAGAAGCACCGAAAAGCTTTGTGCACGGTCTGAGCAATGGTAGCTGCCCAAGTATGCTCTTAGCTCCCAGCAAATACAAAGAAAAACAGAATAGGATCTTAAAATGAAAGGTAGCCGGTATCAGACTCCTTATCATGCTTCCATTGGGTGTATCGGTTTGCTGATTCTGGAGTTGTGAAGACTTTGTAAAAAACATGAGTGAAGGAAAATTGAAATGCTTGTTTGATACCAGTGCTGGCAAGAAACAGTGGCCAAGTGTTAGAATAGCTACCCTTTAAGGAATTTGGGATTAAAGGTAAAATCCTTCTAGGCTGAGACCAGGTCTCCTTAGCAGGGAAGCAGCCTGACAGAGAGAAATACTTCTTCCCGCGCAAGCTTGCCTTTAATGGTGGCTAATTAACCTAGTGTTACATTAAAGATTTACCATATTTATCAGGTCTGATTCAGTTCTTATTCATTGTTGTTTAAGAACACAACAGAGATAACTTGTTTTATTTTCAACCTTGTTCATATAGTTGGGCTTGGGTAGAGGGTTGAATGAACTCAGAGGAGTTATTTCTCTTAGATCATATCCAAGATACAGTTTTAGCACTCACTGAGTATAAGACAGTCAGTGCCACATATATTACCATTATATTCCTCTGTTCTTGATTTTGCTCCTTTTGTTTCCTATCAGACTCCCTAGAGGCCTTAGTTTGTATTCATTCACTCTCTCAAACGTCTTCCCAGATGCTCAAATCCCACTTCTGTTATTGCAGTTTCTTTTAAATTTGTCTGGATCCCTTGTGCAGAGTCAGGACTTTACTGTTCCTTAGCTCAGCATTCTCCTGGCTGGACTCCAGCTCAGGTAATTATATCCAGGGCTCTCTCAAACTTCTGCTCTCTAGCTGCATTTGGAGAAGTCATTCTTCCCCTTCTTTTCAGAACTGCTTTATAACATTGCAGATGCTGAGAACTGATGGGATGTGTTTTTCGCAGAGGCTGTGCATTATGCATTAGGGGTGAACCAACACCTTCCGCAAGGGGACTGACAGTACTGTCACAGCTTCCTTTTCCTTTTTTTTTTTTTTTTCATTTCAATGCTATTTTAAGTGGACAGTATTCACACAAAGTAGAAGCTGAAGGACACAAATTTGGTCCAGATTAATCTGTTGTCGCTATTTGAATGGGGAGACATCTCCCTCTAATTTACTATTCTGAATCTAGCTTAGATTTGTTCAATAGCTGTTCAGTGGCTTATGTCACTTGAGCTGGTTGTCACAAGATGCTCACAAAAATAGATTTCTCACTTATTGGGAGAAATATCGATACAGAGATTAAAGACAGAATGAGCATTGCTAGAGGTAATGCCGCTACATCAACCATGAGGCAAACTACAAAGCAAAAGGAACAGAAAACTTAATTTTGCAATGCCCATGTTCAACCTGCTTGCTGACCAGCAGTTCTCCAATTCTGGTACTTATTCAGACCTAGGCCAAAGACAGCTCAGAGTACCCTTTCCAATGAAAAAGGATTCAAACAGAATCACAAGGAGTCTGAAACATTTAAGAACAAGAAAAAATATTTTCCCTTCTTAACTAAGAAGTATGAACCATAAATTTAGGTAAATAAGAGAAAGAAAAAAGATGTAGTGAAAAAAGAGATAAGGAACAGCAGTTAATGTACTTTCTAGATGCTGATCATTTCCTGCAGAATATGGGCATAAGAAATGGTTGCAAGTACTTATGCAAGCTCATCTAACTGCTCACTGCAGTGCAGTTGTTCCAAGGCAAAGAAATGGATCTTCACACTTCAAGTGAGTAAGTTATAATCAATTCTCACTCCTTCACCTTGGAGGAATTTGAGCTGTTGCTATCAGTTAATGGTAGTTAGCTGTTCCCCAGTCTGGGCAAAAGGGCTGAACTCAGGTAAACCTTGGGAAGACAAATGATTCAGGAGTGGGCTATGCTCACAAGAAGTTTAAGAAATGTTTTTCTAATCTAAACTTAAAGGCTTTATTTTTGCCATGTGCCATCTATCAGAGAAGGATTATCACAGAACAGCCTCATCTAATTGGCCCTGCTTGGAAGGGAGGTTGGACCAAATAACCTCCAGAGGTCCATTTGAGCCTAAATTATTCTACAGTTATTCTCTAGCAGCCACAATGATAGCCTATATCTGGAAAGAAGGTGGTCATACCTGTTCTGCACCCACAGGGGAATCCCTCACGCTGGGGAAACTCCTACTAAGGAAAACAATAAAAGAAATGTCTATCTGATGCAAGAGTAATATGGACTATATTCAATATTTGTTGGTTTTGCTTTCCCCTCAAATCATGCAGGTTTTAAAAGCTGCCAGATCCAGCTCAGCTTTTGTGTTTTTAAAAAAAATTACACTCAGTTAGGCCATGGCTGAACTTGGATCACTTACTTGAATTAGGTTCTCCAGAGTGGCCACAACCATAATAGACTTCACCTGCTGGCATCCACCTGGCTGAGATGGCTTCTGCACTTGTCCCAGAAGGGGCTGCGGGAAGTGGAGCAAAGAGAGGAAGGAAGGGAAGGGAGGGGTTCTGTAGAAGCATACATCTGGAAGTTTAAGCTAACCTTACCATTCTACAGAGCTAACATTGCACAGTGCCTGTGCAGTTTTGATGACAGGACTTGGCTATTGCAAAAATAGCTGGCACCAGGTTCAGATGCTTTGCCTTCTGCTAAACAGTCCTTTCATGCAAAAACAAATTGACCCCACTGTACTCAGTAACATTTTTATCCTCCCTCCCCTGCAATTCAGTGGTACATAAGCAGTAATAAATCTGTATTTAAAGTACTGATGACTGCTTTAAAACTTCAGCAGTAAAGGAAATAAAGTAAGCACATAAGCATGTAGTGCTTGCACAGTTAAACATGGCGTCTACTGCTACATATGACTAAAAGCATGGTTGACTAAGAAACTAAAGCTGTAATGCTCTACTATATGTTTTAGATCACATGGATTTTTTTGTAATCTTTTTAAGTGGAAACCAGGAATGGCTGTGCATGTTTCCACAAGACAAATGACAGGAACAAACTTATTTTAGGATTCTTACTGCAATCAAAGCACTGGGGACAAGGAGAGAGTCAAAGTATACAAACGTGTTTGAGAATTGGAATTTTTATGAAGAAGTAATATTCATTCTGTGATATCCATGTAGAATGGATGCAGTTGGCTTACATTATACCAGCAAAGATGAGTTCAGTGATGATGATGGTACTACATAACAGCTAATAAGAAATGTAACCTGTACTATTTAATGCTTATCTTTTTTTTCAAAAGAGGTGATATAAGAATCACAGAATCACAGAATCATCTAGGTTGGAAAAGACCTTGAAGATCACCTAGTCCAACCATTAATCTAACACTGACAGTTCCCAGATACACCATATCCCTCAGCCCTCTGTCAACCCGACTCTTAAACACCTTCAGGGATGGGGACTCCACCTCCCTGGTCAGCCCATTCCAACATCTAACAACCCCTTCTGGAAAGAAATGCTTCCTAATATCCAGTCTAAACCTTCCCTGGTGCAACTTGAGGCCATTCCCTCTTGTCCTATCCCTTGTTACTTGGTTAAAGAGACTCATCCCCAGCTCTCTGCACCCTCCTTTCTGGTAGTTGGAGGGCGATGAGGTCTCCCCTCAGCCTCCTCTTCTCCAGACTAAACACCCCCAGTTCCCTCAGTTGCTCTTCGTACGACCTGTGCTCCAGGCCCTTCACCAGCTTTGTCACTCTGTGAATGAAGCCAATTCTACAGCTTTGTAAACATCAGCATTTGTTTCTTTTTTCTGTTTGAAATCTTTGAACCTCAACAGGTTTTGAGGCCAGCTAGCAGGCAAGTAAAAATTGCTTCATCATGTCCAACTCAGGATTTTCTTATTAATCAGTATGGGTAAAGATGTCTAATGTAAGAATAGCAACAGTCTAAATTTCCACAGTAACCATCACCCAAATATTCTGAGTACTTTACAAGGTGATTTTGCATCTTATTAAAGAGAAGCAAAGGCACTGCTATTATGGATCACGTTTTCGAGAGCACTGCCAGTCTTATTCTCTGCAGGGTCTTTACACATGCGGCAAGCTCACCATGGTATAATCCTCTCTTTACTTTAGTCACTTAGTAAAAGAGCCTCAGACTGCTCATGTACATTTCTGCAAATGCTGTAACGATCTCCTGTTCTCAAAATTTATTAAGACAGCTACGTATTTTCTTTTAAGAAATGTTGTCAGAAAACAAACTGGATGCTTGAACTGCTACTTTACCAGGAAGACCTTTTTGGCTGCATGACTCTGAATGTTTGTAGATGAGCAAAAATGTTTTGAGACAAACTTAAAAAAGAATGTGGAAATAACCATTAGCAAGCCAGAGGTGCCTGTGAAGATCATAGAGGATAGAGAGCAGGATATTAAGAGAGTACTGCGATTCAGCTGGGTAAGATCAAAGAGAGCCAGATAACAGCCAAGGGACATCAGAGTGCCATGAAAGTTGCTGAAGATGTAGGAAAAGCCTGTGTAGTACTGTGGGACATAAGGGAAGTTGAATAAGATATGTATGTCAAGGAAAGTCCCAGGGTGATACAGAAAACCAGAGGAGACATCATCATGACAAAGCTGTCTGAGAAAGCCTCACAGTGCTACAAGATACAAGCCTCAAGATGATGATGAAAACCAGAGAAGGCTGAGAATTGCTGGGGACACAAAAGACAGCTAACACAAGGGAATGTTACTGAATGCAATCACATCAAGAAGGGCTACAACTGCTGGGTATAGCTACAACTTCTGGGTATAGCTACAAGGATGTTTGAAATAATGAGGTCACAGAGTGTCCAGATTTTATGGGGAATAACACATACTTCTGGAGATCAGGGACCAATAAAGGTAAATGAAGAAGCAATTAGAAATATGCCAAGAAAAACCATATTGTATCACAAAATAGAAAAAAATCATTGCTAGAGAGCATGAGAGAGAATCTGAAAAATGTTTTCAGCAAAAAGCTCCCCAGACTTAGGAAGCTTCTTGGAGCAGCTGCTGAGCCTGAAGAAGGCTATAGCATGTTAGGAAATGAGAGAGCAACCATAAGATGCCAGAAACAGTGAAGCAGATTGTGAGTTGAATGATAAATGTGTAAACTGCTGGTTGCTATAAAGGGCCACAGTGTCAGGAAATGTTGGAGCCTGCTGTTCTGCTTCTGGAGGCATCCAGGAATAATGCAAGTTGAAAGAACAGTGTATAGGTTGAATAGCATCAAGAAACATTGGAGAAGGCCTTGAATACCTTTGAGCTTGTTCAGCAGAGGGATCCAGACTAAGGCAGTGAATTACTGGAGTCGTTAGCTATGCAGCCACATAGAAACCAAGGCAAGGCTGTGATCTCCCAAGGGCCCAAGATACCAGGAAAAAGCTCAAGAAAGAATGCAGATTGCCAGGGGGACTGAAGAATCCTGCATATAAACTAGGGACAACTGAAAAGCTGTGAGATTTGTCAGGAAGCACAGGGTAAGGTCACAGACTGAAACAACTCAGATGTCTGGTTTCACCGTTTGACTAATAGAAGAAAGATGTGACCCAAGATAATCCTGCCTGCTTCCCTTTCGGAGGGCAGAACAGAATCCCTTTCAGTACTGTCTTAAAGCAATGAATGCTTCCTGCTGAACAACCAATGCCATGTATGGAAAATAGCTATCTATCCTATGTCATTGTATGTGTTTAGACTGGGCCTTGGAAACCACACGAGATTAGGAGAGGAAAATAATCTCTTAGGGACAAGGGAAACTTTTTAAGGGCTAAATTGTGCTCTAGCTCTGTGTGCTGGCACAGGGAGCCCTTTTGCCCCTCACAGCAGTTGCACAGCAGATAGGTATCACTGGTCTCTCATCATGAGTTTATAAAATACTGATAGAGAAAAACAGTGTGGGAGATATGTCTTATTCACACAACATCTAACTCAAGAGCACCTGTCCTAAGTAGAGTAACATGGCCAATGTATTTATAATTCACATTGCTGACTGGCTCTGGAGTGATGCCTTGCTGGAGCCTGGGCAGAGCAAGGGCCTCAGCTCCCACCTGGCAGCCCAGTTTTGCTGAAGACACTCTCTATTTGGAACTTGCTCCTTGCTGCACATCTTCCCGGGGGAACGAGGATCGGCACCAGCACTTCAGCAGCGTATCAGCTCCCTCCATCTAGCACAGCTCAGCCTCAGGAGAGCCATTCTGCAGCCTGCATTTGGATAGGAGGGGAAGGGGGGAGAAGACAAAGAGTTGTTTTTCATAAGATCTTCTGCGGAAGGCTGAAAACAGCCAGGTTTTCAACCTCTTTCCTTTGTTTGCCTTAGGTCTCTCAATTTCTATATCAGGCTCTGGTTCAGCTTCCATTAGCGCTTCCTCATCAACATTGTTAACAATGGTTTCCTCACTGAGGGTATCACTAGGATTATACTTACTGCCAGAATCCTCTGGCACAAAATCACTGTCTGAGTCAGAGCAGAGAAATAATTAACCCTCATGATACTTCTCTGAGGAATGAACAGAATACCTAATAAGATTTATCAGGCATCAAATTGATCCTGCTCCTAAGGAGAAAAACGTCCACTCACTGAAGTTAGCACTGCCACTGAGGAGTGAGGAGATTCTTGTGTCAACACAGGAGACATCTTCACCTCACCTGTAAGTGGCCAGCATTACCTTAATTGCTTTAGTTACCTCACATGTCTAAACAGCAAACCACTTGTTTACCACTCTGGCCCTGGATTAGATAATGGTTTCATTGCCCAAAAATACTATCGTGTCAACGGATTTTAGCTTGTGTGAAACTGGTGAGGCTGGAGTGAGGCAAGGCAAGACTATCTTGCTCGAAATTACCAGCACTTGATTTGCATTCGGCCTTCAAACACTCCTGATCATATTCTCGATCTGTAAGACTAGATTTATGATTCAACCTACAACTCCAGAAGCTGAAATAGAACTGCTGGAAAATTTGCCCCACGTATGGAGAAGACTGTTGCCCCACAAAAGAGAAATAAGCATCAAGATTTACACAGATTTGCATGTGTTTGCTGTTTTCAACTCTAGAGACAAGAGTTTTCCTTCCTTCCAAAAAGTAATCAGTCACTTCAGTGGCAGACATTCACAAGCAGAGCTAATTAACTTTCTAGGTCCAGAAGGATCCCCTCCCAAAAGCTGATAATATGTCTCAGTGGGTTAGGAGAAGGATAGGACAGTCCTAGCTGGCTGGGAGGGATCTCTGGAGAAGTACATATCATACAGATTTCTGTCTGCAAAAAACAGTAGTCTGCTAAGATCTGGAAGCCTCAAAATCCTTTCACTTCTGCTGGGAATTTAGTTCAAAGCAGCTGCATGTAAATTTTGCATAGCAAATGCTATGCTGGCGAATCTTTCTCATGATTCTTGTTTTTTAAATCAACAAGAGTAAACTATATAGAAGAGGAACTAGTTTGAGGGCAGTCAGATTTACCCTAACTGTTTTAAAATAAAATTGAAAACAACCCTAAGAAAAAAAAAAAAAAAAAAAAAAAAAAAAAAAAGGATTTGAAATATGTATGAGCAGACGCACTGCCCTGCCTCATCTCTTTGTGCTGCATAAGGGTGACACAGATTGGCTGAATCCTTATAAATAGAGATCTGGTACAGAGATTCCTCAGAAAACATGCAGCTACTGTTCCTAGTTCCTCTCCCTCACAGCCAGGAGTGGGTAGGAGGCAGGGAGGCATGGAAGGAGGGTCAACATCAGGCTGAGAATTGCCTGAAGGTGTCTCATCTTTCTCCAGGCCCTAAAACGATGAGAGAGGTCAATATTTCCCCCCTTGCTCACACCCCTTGCATATGCATTTCTAATATCTGTGCAACCTCTAAACTTCTGCCTCATCTGAAAAAAAGGGGAAATTTGTCATTTATTCCTGAAGTAGCAAGATCACTTCAACTTTTGACTTCATAAGCATTAAAAAAAAAAAGAATGAGATCGGTAAAAGTTGCTAATGGAAAGAGAAAAACACCTCAGCAAGAATGCAATTCTTAGGACACATTTCAAATCTTGTTAGCAGTTATCTCTTCAACATAAAAGTCACAGCCCTGGCATGTAATTTATACAGATATTCTCCCTGCCCTCAGTCCTACACCCTACCTAGACCTCCTTTCATATTTTTAATGTACTCCAAATCTTATGAAAATTATAAACTTACATATTTGAGGTTCAAATTTCTCTGCAGACTCAAGCCAACAAAAGCACCAGGTAAGTAACTTGCAAGCTCCATGACAAGAACTGTAGCAGCAGCACCATGTTGGAGGTAAGGAAGCCCTTCCCAGCACAGCTCCCAGCTCTCACGTGTGCTTTATGGAGGCCTGCAAGCCCAATAGCTATACGAGCCCATCTTTTATAGAAAGCTGCCATACTGTAGACATCAAAGCAACATGTGTGCTTGCAGTTGTTTCAGGAATTGACAATGCAAATGCCAAGAATCCATTTTGACACTAATTTGACCATAATTTGGACCTCTACCTGCACCAACTCTTGACCAAGGACAAACGCTTGAACAGGAGAGCTTAAGGAGCCTGCAGAGGCTTTCGTCTGCCGTGCGTTCTAGGCAACAGCTGCTGTGCACACAGTTTTTCTACTGTTGTAACTACAGGAAGGGGTATATGGGAAAACAGCTGCACGGCTGTGGCTTCCCAAGTTTTGCCTGCCAGCTGAGCTGCCCCGCACGCCTGTGTGTGTGTGCAGCACAGGACAGTGGCTGGCGCCCACTTCTGCCTGCAGCTGAGGGCATGGGAGAAGTTGCTGATTCAGATCCACTCCCCCTGCTCAGCCCGTCCTACTTCTTCTTGTGGAAATTACCACCTCTTCAGATCTGCCTGCAGAGTGGCTCATCTGGGCACCCCCTAACCTACTTTGGTCAACCTGAGCCAGACTTAACTTAAATGGATTAAGTAGGAGGTTTTTGCTAACTCAGTTTGATTGAAGTGGGTTAAGGGGCACTCGCACAACCATCTCTGCAAACACATCATGAGAGGGCATTAATTCCTGGGAAAAGACAATGACAAGTGGCTGGGACTATCAGCCTCTTTCACAGACACAGCTAAATCAAGCGTCCACTCAAATGAGGCCGCGCAACTTCAGGGACAGGCATAAATTTACTTTGCAAACATCAAAAGCTACCATTTCCCACCAGCTACATGTTGCTGTTCTCACAACAACAGCACAGGGGGAAGGGGAAGCGTGTTACTCTTTCACTTCAGGAAGAAGTCGGCAGGGTTCACCTGCCAGGAAGGTTCAAGCTTTAGCATTACAGTAGACTAGGAACTGCTCATGTCTTCCCTTCTGCAGGCTGAACTGAGAAGGAGATAATTTACATCTGATCTGGGCTTCGACATGTAGTTTAGAATTAGAAATCAACTTAGTTAAAAGTATCGAAAGTCCTTT